TAAATTTTCCTGACAAAAAAGTTTTTGAGCTTGAACTGAGTGAATAACATTGCTCAGCTCTCTGCTTCAACCTTTGGTTTGGCTTGTGCCTAGTGCTTACTCATGCCCTTTGGCTGTGTTGTGGTCTTTTATGGATTTTTCTTCCTTTTACAAGTGGGAGTGTTCAGGTATTCTCCCTGAGCATCCCAGTGGGCCTAGCCAGGCCTTTGGGCTGGTCCTCTGGGCCTGCTGGGGCCTCCGCATCCCCAATTCTTGGGGGGTTGTACACCCAAGGAGGGCCCTGTGGCAGGCATCCTCACCGGGTGCATGGACCCAGTACTGGATACAGTCTCAGCCCCACCCCGGTGACCCCGGTCTGGCAAGGTCAGGACCCCATCACTGTTGTTGCATTTCTCCCCAGTGGTGAGCATGTTGGAAGATGGCTGTCTTCGGTTTAGGGCTCTGCATAGGACCTTTGGTGGACACTTTCCCCCCGGGTGGTTGCCAGTGATGCTTCCTAGCTGTTTGTGTCTCTTGAGAGACTTGGGAAAAGGCGGCCTTTTGGCCTGGTGGTAGTCATCCAAGGTTGAGCGATTTTGCTTTTGGCCCGTGTTTCATTCACTGGCCTCCATCTGTGGCGGGTAATGACCCCCACCCCACAGGAAAATTAATCTGGCTATTTAAATTAATAGGGATAAAATTGGCATAAACAAATTTAAAGGAAATGACATATGCAGTTAAATGCATGACATCATTAATTGTATGACGTCATATGATGTAATATGATGTCACCTCCAGAGAGGAGGGGTTTGTAAATTTGTTGATATTATTGTTTACTTGTTTTGTAACGTGTCATGAAGGATCACCCATTTGGGGGATTTACACCTTCACTTACACATGTGACAAATTTGTTAATGTTATTGCCTTGCAAATAGACCCTATACAGCTAAATAAAAGCTGTGGTCTGGTTAAACCCAAAAAGAGGTGTCTCCTGTCCTTTGTTCCAGTGCAAAATCATGCTTTCTTAGTAAAACAGGCAAAAAATAAATAAATGATCTAAACATAAATTCTGCACACAAAAAGGTGTGCTCCCCCTCCCCCCCTCAAGAACAGGTGGAAGAGACTGGGGATCCTTACTAACAGTGTTACTTCACATGTTGGGGAAATTAGATTTTGCAAGAGGCTTGGTTAACTTTGAATTGTTTGCATTAGTGAATACCAGTACTAACTGGGAAGGACTCCAGGTTTTGGGAGAATAAAGAAGTTTTTATTTAGAAAAATGCAAATGAAATCACATATATCAGATAGCAATTCAAACAGACAGAGTGTACAGAGCTGATCAAAATGGAAATATTAAAATGGGATAGGAGTTTTAGGGGTTGACAGTAGGGTTATAATTACCAGGGGTTATAATTACCTGTACCTTAATTTTTTTATATAGAGAGCACTGCCACATCCAAGGATGTCAAAAAAAAAAAAAAAAAAAAAAAGGATGGGAATAACTCTAGGATTTGTAGATTCAAAAGTACTGCATCCCATAGAATTAATATGGAAAATAAACAATTCAAATCAAATCTAGTTAGAAATTTTCTTTTTGCACATAAGCCACCACTTCACCCCACATTCCTTTTAATTCATCTATCTAGAATAATCTTAAAACCATAGGTCCCTGAGTTTCCCTAAAAGACTTTTGCTGAAGAAGTTAGAAACTAAAATGTTAAACTAAGAGACAAAGCAGATGGGAGGCAAGGAGTGACCTCTGGCCCCTCCAGCCATGATTGCATTGGGACCATGGTGACCACATGGCCTGCTTCTAAAGTGGACTACTGCTATGGTCCCAATCCAGCAGCCACCAGGAGCCAGATTATTCTGGCTTCTTTTTGATCTGGTCCAAAGGACCAGATCATGGCATTGGAGTGGCTTCCATCCACTATGGAGGCATGTGTCATTTTAATGCCACACCCTCACAGTGGCCAGAAGCCTTTTTATTTGGCCCATGTGTTTCAGGCCCAAGATTTTATCTCTGTTTGGCCATACATTTATTTTTACAAATTGTAACAGTGTTTGACAGTATTCTTCCAAAATCTAGTCTGCTTGTTTGTGGCATTATTTGGTTCCATTTAAGATATATGTAACACATGCTGCAAAAAAAAAAAAAAAAGGTGGGGAGGGAATCATCACTTCTTTATATAAAAGTATTCCAGGTGGTTTGAAGCAAATGAGAACATGTGAAACCATTTTTTCCCTTTAGATATAAAAAAGATACTAGATAGAGAATTGAAATTAACTATTAATAATTTAAAAGCCTGTGTACTTTGGGGAGGAGAAAATCTATCTCCACACATTAAATGTTAATAAAAGTAATTTGTTCTAAAGCTGAGAATATGATAAATCATGATGCATTTTAAGATAAATAGATTCAAGATCAGGAAATGAAAATATATTTCTTTTCTACTCAGTTCTAAACAACCAACTTTTGTAATTTACTTTTTTAATCAAAGTTAAATTCTAGTGTATCCTCACCTTTATTTTAATAGTTCAGCATGCCTACAATTAATCTCCTGCAAGTTATCATATTTAAAAGCATGTATATTTGACACAGAGTGGAAGGAGAACAGCAGAGCAATATTTAGTATTCATTTGAGATTATTTACAGACATAAATTCATAGAGTCATAAAATCATACATTGGGCCACTTGCAAAATTTCAACACTGATTGGGACAAACAGGGCAGATTTAAGATTAATAAGAAAAGTAAAAGACTGAATATGTAAACTACTACTGTGCTGAGGATATAGAATGCAAGCCAGCAATGAGAAAGACACCCCCCGACAAATTGGGGGAGGTGTTCTTGTTGTGCTGGCCAAATAAAGACAAGAGAAGCCTAGTTGGTCAAGGCGTGCAGAGGAATGGGAACACCTGAGCACCTTGTCCAATCAGGTTGTTTGGTTGCTACTCCAAATCTTGTGGTGCTATTGGTCTCGCGAGGCATGGAACAAGAGTTTGTTATTTATAGCTCTGTGCTGCCACGTGGAGGCAGCCATTTTCAAGCTTGAACTGAGTGACCAATCCCACCCACCCTTTATTAAGAAATTATAAATTGTTACTCTCAGGCTCAGGCTGTCCGCTTTCAGGGACCGGGAGGGAATTTTTTCCCAGGGTTCTTCCCTGGGTTTTTCACCGTTCCTGAGATTTATTAATTATAATTGATTTGGGAATGGGTCATGGTGTTAATTCATATTGTTCTTGTTAATTGTTTTGTCACAACTTAGGGATAGGGTCTATAATTTAAAATTGTTTGTTTTGTACTTGGGGGTGGGTAATGACCCTCACCCCACAGGAAAATTTAATCTGGCTATTTAAATTAAATGGGGAAAAAATTGTCATAAGACAAATTTAAAGGAAATGACATATGCAGTTAAATGTATGATGTCATTAATTGCATGATGTCACATGATGTAATATGACATCATTTCCAGAGGGGAGGGGTTTGTAAATTTGTTGATATTATTGTTTACTTATTTTGTCATGTGCGGTGAAGGACCACCCATGGGGGGGGTTACACCTTCACTTACACACGTGACAAATTTGTCAATGTTTATTGGTTTGTAAATAGACCCAGTACAGCTAAATAAAAGTTGTGGCTTGTTTAAACCCAAAGAGAGGCATCTTGTGTCCTTTGTGCCAGTGCAAATACATTTGGCTTTCCATATCCATGGATTTTTTAAATCCACAGCTTGATGCATCCACAGCTTGAATTAAAAAGAGAGAGTATAAATTCCAAATAGAAAACCTTGATTTTTCCATTTTCTATAAGGGACACCAATTTACTATGGCACTGTATTTTAATGGGACTTGGGTATCTATGGATTTTTGTATCCACAGGGGGTCCTGGAACCAATCCCCAGTACATAACAAGGCCCCACTGTATGTCTCTCTCCAGATATTGTTGGAATATAACAACCATCATCTTCTACCTTTGCTGGACTAGCTAGGGCCAATTTGAGTTGTTCAACAATATGTTGAACTACATATCCCACATCCTAGTATAGGTGGAGCTGTAATAGGATATTCTGTTCCTGTTTACAGTGCCACCCCAATTTAGAGATTATTATTTTATTTCATTTTACAAGTGAACCATATGTCAAGGGAAAAAAAATGTTTGGTCAGAATACTATTGGGTAATTAGGTATGTGCAACTGAGAGTTATTTGTGGCATGTGCAACTGAGAGTATATTAACATTTGTGACTGGTTGGCATTCACAATCCCTATCTATCCCCTTTTATTACTCCTTCCTGCTGTGAGCAATAATAAGAAATATATTACATGCCTTGTTTCTACTTATCCAATGGGGTTTACTCACACAAGGTGGTAGGAACATTAGTCAGACAATTCCTGAAGGACAGATCTCCATCATTCCCAGTGTCTGCTGACTGATAAGTGGGAATGGGTAGGCACAGCCTGAGATTCTTTCTATAGCTACCTAACTACTATGGTTACATAGCAACATATTGTGCAGAGAATTCTAGATATTATTTTTGAAATAAGTAGCACATTTTCTCAAGAGTTTTGTACATTCCCAATTATAACAATGCTCCATTAGCAAGATTGGTTCCTTGTTATCTTCCAAGATAACTCAAAGAGCTAGTTTGTAAGATTAATAGCTGATTAACTTAGGCACAAAACTTCTTAGACATTTACCAACTACTCTTAGGATAGTAAGAGTCCCATTATAATATCTACAATCAGCCAAAATCACCCTCCTGAACACATCATCTGTACATTGACAGCCAGTATGGTTTATTGATTGGGGTGTAAGACGAAGTACAGGAAGAATGAAGCTCAAATCATTCAGCCATATAGCTGGCAAGATGACTCTTTCCCCCTAAAAATAAATAAATAAAAATTATTGGGCTTGTAGGAGAGCAGCAGAACTTCAAAATGGCTGGGAGAGACAACTTATCCACACCTGCTTTGATGCCAACCTAAAGATTTTATATGTGACATAGCCCTAAAGAGAGCCAGTGTGGCATAGTGGTGTGAGTGCTGGACTAAGGCTCTGGAGATCAGGGTTCAATAGGTTCAATTCCTATTTGGCCATGAAACCCACTGGTGACTTTGGGCAACTCACATGCTCTCAGCTTCAGAGGAAGGCAATGACAGACCTCCTCTGAACAAATCTTGCCAAGAAAACTCCATTTTTCCAAAACTCCAAACTCCAATAGGATCATTGTTAGTGAACCTCATCCATTTTTGTTATATATTTTAGCCATGTGGAGTTCCCTATGACCCCAGCCTGACCCTTGGGAGATGGCAGCCATAATCCCCTAGATGGAAGGTCATGTAAGCAAGGTAAAGTTGCATAAGACCACTAAAGATTTCCTGGACAGGCAGGCTTTGGGAGTTATCCTTAGAAATATCCCATTATGTTGGAAAAGATACCTAGTGGTGTTTGTTTGTTTTAGTCTCACATTTAATGAGACAGTGATCAATTTGATTGCACAATTGGATAAGATCTCAGAAGCAAAGTTGGGCAATTCCCTCTTACATTTGAGCTAATTATAAATTCCCCAAAATTAGGTCTTGGTTTCCCAACAGCATAACTCAGAAAGAACATGAAGGCACACAACACACCACACACCACAACACACCACTCATAGCCCTAAATACCTTTTGCAGTGGTGCTTATCCATTATAGTCTCAGACTAGTCACATCTAATTATCCATTTATTTGTGTACTCACATAGAATGTAAGATAGCATTCTGCAACATGGCATTAACCACAAATTGTGTCTAATATAATTTTTTATTATACTGTTAATAATGGGATAAAACTAAATAAATTACAGCTTTCCCATTGCTCACTGAATGTTAGTGTCTCATTCTTCCCAGGAAACTTAATGTGTGTCATAAATGGTCACTGAGGCACAGCTTAGCTAAAGCATAGAAACTATAGTTCAATTAAAATGTATTTAAAACTGAAATAAGAATCCTGTTCAAATGTTCATAGAAATTATGCTGATACTGAGTTTCCTGGCTCATCTTGTGGCTTCTGATAAATTCTCCAACTCCAGGCTTAATTTACCCTTACAATTTTCATTAATTTTTATGTTGCAATTTTGGATACTTCCTGCTTGTTTTGAGGTTGTATAACAAATTGTTATAAATTCTGCTTAGTGAAATTATTTTATATTAAAGAGAAACACTTATATTCACTTTATCTAATATTAGTTATAGTTAAATTTACATACAGCCTACACTGATTGGAAATTTGGGAATAATGTTTTATTTTATTAATCATGATAAAATGTGGCATTTAGATTTTCCCCACTTCCTAATGAAAATGTCTGGAAGAGAGGGATGTGTGGGATTTTTTTAGTTATCATCACAACCTGACTGTGAAATAGGTTACTCTGGAAGGTAGTCAGTGGTCCAAGATCACCCAATGAGTGTCATTCTCAACAAATCAGATGTCAGAGAAAGCCATCTATCTTAAAGACATTTATTTTGGTGATCTTTTGATATGTTGCACAATAAGGATAGTGGTATATATTCTGGAGTCACTGTTTGGGGGAAAAATATAAAATGACAATGTTAGTCACATTGTCTTGGATTTTCTCAAGGTGTTGTTCTGTGGAGGGATATCTATGCAAATGGGTCCCTCCTCCTTCTGGCCACATGGCACTGAGAACAAAACATTCCAAAGACTAGGAGATAAAATTTGAATTACATTAGCAATACAAAAATATCTCAGATATCTCCATTCTTTGTGAGGTCACAGTCCCTTTTGTTACAGAGAACACTTAATCTTTCAAGAGAAGTCTTTATACTTTAAGATTATGAAAATTTTAGATGTTGTTTTGGTAAAACATGCCAAAAGTAGTCTCAATTTTTTTTTTAGCTTTGTTGGTGATAGAAACATCATATAATAAAGTCCAAGTCCATTGGCTCCCTCTTTAGGATTCCCCATAGTGGCTAAAATGCCTAGATCTTCACATCAAGGAAATATATTCACGGATAGCAGTGTTGGCCATATAGCAAAGTACAATAACATCTAAAATCCACAAAACAGTGATATCTTTAATTGGCCAACCAAATGTAAAAAATACATGATGCAAGCTTTCAAAGCTCCACTGGCTCCAGATAAAGACAGTGGTGTTAGTAAAAGCACAGACAAAACTTACACTTCTGAGAAATGAGTTTGAGTCTTTGGCATGCATACTTCATATATTCATGACAGATCTTTGTTGATTTAGCTGTATTTGGAATAAAGAGGTAAGACAGTTGTTTAGGGATAGAAAGAAAACTCACCATTATTCATCCCCAGCCCCCCCCC